AAAAAAATTAGAAACAAAAAGGTAAAAACAATATTAGATTATTTATGAGAACAAACAAAAAAAATTAAAAACGCGGACATAAAATCTTCGAGAGAAAAACATAATAACGAAAGTCCAAACTAGAATTACAGATCCTACACACAAAAAAAAACAGAAGATTCTGACTGCATGCCAAACAATTGGCTTTACAATTTAGACTGCGTGAGATACAAGTCAGAATAATTCATCGATTTCTAAAAGCTAAATTTTCTAGAATTTTCATAAATTAAAAAATAATTAATATTTAATTAGATATGTGTTATTTTCTTACACTAAACAAATTCTCTTAGCTATGAGTCAAATAAGTTCAATTATTATTAATCAACATTTTTTATAAGTTTATGATTCAGCAATATTAATTAATAAAAGATGCATAAAAAGTTAAAAAAACCAATCTTCATAAAAGAAAATAAGAACTATAGAAATATAAACATTTTCTTTTTAACAAAGACAAAAACCGATGTCTTCTTCTCCGATTTTGGAGGCGATTCATCCATGGTCGTCATCGGAGTGTGTCTGTGTTATGATTCCATCCAAGACGAATATGTTATCTCCGTGAAGAGCCTTTCAACTTTTCATAAAGTCCGATATCCACAATCCCGATCAATGGAAGGGGTTTGGTGTAGATTCTAAAGATTGATAGTGTGTTATGAGCAGCAAATTTGGGATCCAGGTATAGCATTTTCATGGAGAACTGAAGAATCAATGCAAGAAAAGGTATTGAGTAGCATCAATAACATAAAAGAACTATGGAGTTTCATCCAAGAGTTGATAGCCAAAAACGACGATCTCATTCTTTTTGGATTGATTTTGGATGAGGAAAAAATCGACTTTCTTAACCCGTTGGGGAGTAAGGCTTCGGTATCGAAAGCATCGTGGAAATTTACTTTTTCTTTGTTTTTTTTAATATATGGTTATGTAATTGTGGATGTGTATTTAGTTTTGCTCATTATTGATGTATTTGGAATTGGAATGTATCAACTCTTACATATAACTCAAATGAATGAATCAGATGTTAAAAGAAAAGG